TCCCTGTTTTTGTTTGTTCCTTGTTGCTGTTGTTGTTGTTGCTGTTGTTGTTGCCTGTAAGATTATTATGCCGAGCTGAGGTTGGCCTCCCTGATCTCCGAGGTGAGGGGACAGCCCTGGCAACGGCAAAGCAAAAGCAGGTCAGGGCCACGGTTTAGGGTTTAGGGGTTTAGGGTTTAGGGATAAGGGTTTAGGGTTTAGGCTTGCAACTTGATGGATTCGCCTCTAATTTTATGTTTAAGCTTGCGGGGTCTAGAGTTTGAGGTTTCGGGTTGGGGGGCTTAGGGCCGGGTTAAGGGTTACACTATGTATAGAACATTCAGACACGGGCCGAAGTCGTGAAGCATACTAGGCGGCCCCAGCGTTCTGTAGCTACAGAGTCTCGGACCCTGAAACATATCACGGACAGAAATATTGGACTTCTTCTCTTCCTTTTCCCAAAGGGTTTAAGCAACTGTTTTATGAAACAGATCCCAGTAGCTGTTTACATTCGTGATGGGACAGGTTTTCTGGGGGCCTCATTCCAGAATGCATGTGTATACGTCGACATGATCATGACTCTCTGGTCAGAAACGAGGATGAATGCCAAAGCCGGCACAAGCGAATGGGCATCAACCGACGGTGAGTCCATGTAGGCCCTAATCTGAGGTACAGCTTGCACCAGTCCTTAACCACCCACCTAATAATTAAACACACATTGGAGCGAAATTTCTCGAAATCATCCCTGCCCATTAAAACCATTCTGAACTAGCGGGGGGTGGGGGGTGGGGGTGGGGGGAAGGTTTCGAGGCTCCACATACCCTTAAGGCCAAGAGCAAGAGCAAAAGCAAGCGCAGGAGTTAGAGCAAGCGCAGGAGCAGGAGCAAAAGCGGGAGCGTCAGCAAGAGCAAAGCAAAAGCAAGAGCGGGAGTAAGAGCGAGAGCAGGAGCAAAAGCGGGAGCAGGCGCAAGAGGCGCGGCAGAAGCAGGAGCAAAAGCCAGCGCGGGAGCAAGAGCCAGAGCAGGAGCAAGAGCACGGCCCCTCAAAAGTGGCAGTAGAGATACACATACACCCGAATAATAAAAACACTTCCCGAGTCTTTTATTGTGGGCGGGGGCCCCTCGGCCTAATAAATAGTAGGGGGAAGGGATTAAGAAATAAAGTAACAGCAAGGTGCTGCAAATCAAAGGTTTAGGAGAGCATAGTTGGGGGTCTGGGGTTATCTTGGCCCTAAGCCCCACACTCCCAAAGTCTAAACGAACCTCACACCCCTAAACCCTAAAATTGAAACCCCCTACAACTCCTAAACGCCAAACCCAAACCCCTTTAACTCTCCTAAACCTTGTAAACCCTCCCCTGAACCCCGAAACCTGGAAACTCCCCTACAACTCCTCTCATGTATTGGCCTAAAATTAATTAGAATAGGGTTTTGGGGTATATTATACTATAATTCTAATAATAAGGAACCACCACAATAGTATAGGTAGTTATTGGCCCCTATATTGCCCAGAGCCTGCCTCACAAAAGCACCGTTCCAGCACAGAGCCTGACATCTCCAGCAAGCTACCCTAAAACCCCAGCATAGTACTCTAGATTAGGTTTAGGGTTTAGGGTTTAGGGTTTAGGGTTTAGGGTGTTAATGTCTTTTGTAAATAAGGGTGCCGTACTATATTGGGGATCTGCAAGGGGAACCTAATTTAGAGAACTTCCCCCGCAGCTCGAAACCCAGATACCTAAAACCCTAAACCCTG